ACCCACAGCCTGAGGGACCCTCAGCCAACCAACCTGTGATGGTGCTGCTCAGCACCGAGGTTCCCTACTGAAAATAGCAGGGACTTACACACATGGCTTCAAAGAAGTGGAAGACAACGTAGACAGGCATGACCCAGGCCACCAAGTCAACAATCTCCCTGGGGACAGGGGAGACAACGATGGGTTTGGGGAATTGACCTCCACACACTAAGGGTAGGAGTCAGAGGCACTTACTTGTCCCGGGTGAAGATGTATCCCAGCACATCCTTCGTGGTGGCTAAAATGGCCCCCACAGCTATGCAAAGCACCACTGAAAAACAGAGCAAAGCACTGAGCTCAGGGGCAGCCAAAGGGAGAGAGGAGAGGGGAGAAGAGGACACAGAGGACTGCAAATGCTCCTGCTGTGCCTGGAAGGAGCCCTACAAAGGCTTCCGAGCCCGCTGATGGCCTGACCTGTGCAGACCAGGCTGGTGGTGGAGGATCTCTTGGCCGTGTCAGTGTCGCCGGCACCCAGCGCATTCCCCACCTGCACACTGGTGGCCGTGGCGAGCCCCAGGGGGATCTGAAACCACAGGGCTGAGGCTCATGTGTGCATCCAGGTAATGAGGGCATCACAGTCACAGCGAAATGACCGCCCGGCAGAGAGGGCAACAGAGTTCAGGGCTTAAAACATCTCCGTAAGAGGGATAAGCAGGATGGGGAGAGGCTTAAATGCAGAGGGAGAAGAGTGAGATTTGCTGGAGCTGGTTTTTGCTGGGTGTTCTGCCCAGGACAGTCCCTACGGGGTGTGCTCTGGAACAACAACCCCTAGCCCTTACCATGAAAGCAACAACGGACACCTCGTAGATGATGGACTGGGCAGAGAGCTCTATGACACTCAGCAGGCCTGGGGGAGAGGAGAGGGGCAGTGCTGGATGTGGGTGCGCAGGGAAGAGCCGCAGCTCTGCTGCAGGCACTGTCACAGCCTGTCTGCCTCCCCGCAGCTCCCCCTCTCCGCTCACCTATCAAGAAGCTCCCGATTTCGTAGGTCCACCACTCGATGCACATCATGAGCATGCTGGGGATGGCCAGGGAGGTGAAGCTGTCCCACTCCAGCAGGCACTCGCTGGACCAGCCTGCAGAGAGGAGAAACATCCCTGGATGGATGATCAGAATGGCCACAGGTTGCATCCTTGAGAGCACCCGAGGCAGCTGTAGGTGCCATTCCTACTTGCAGAGCCACCAGGGCAATGCTCCTGAGCACCATAGGACCTCCAGCAGTACAGCATGCACATATGTGCTCTGCTGACGCCATCCTGTGGGCCATGGAGGGGTGCAACTCTCAGCTCATTCTTCCTCGAGCAGTGGCCAAGGATAACCTCGTGCTTACGTCTGTGCTCATCCAGCCTGAACCCTATAAAGCCTCAGCAGAAAGTTTCACTTCCCCAGAACGAATGTTTCCTGCCCAGCATGGCTCTGCCAACGCTCGCACGTGATGTGCTGCCACCAGAGCAGCACCGTGGTACCGGGGTGCACCGCACTGAGGTTAATATTTCACTGTCGGCACTAACAGAATTCACTGGATAGAAGTGATTGATAGAACATTCATGAACCCTGTGTAAAGCAGGAGCTGGGGGAGCTGCTCTTACCTCCCCAGGTCTTCACATGGAGTTTCCTGCCTATAATATACAGGAACAAGAAAATGGCTTGTGAATATTGAGCCGTGGTGTTGGCCCAGGCTGAGCCCCTGCAGAGGAACGAGAAGGGTTTTGTTGTCATCCTGCTCATGCCTCCCCGGCCTCGGAGTGCCAGAGCAGAACCTCCTCCATGAGTGCCGGATGCTCGGTCGTGCAGTGGTGCTGATGTCCCTGAGAAATCCCATAGGCCAGGGGCCACATTGTCCCCTCTTTGGGATGCAGGCGCTACTCACGTGATGCCCAAGTGGAACACGTAGAGGAAGATGCAGTTTGCAATCACATTGACGATGTTGCCAATGAACCCGCTCAGCACCAGCGGCCACATGATCATCTGCAAAGAGGAGGAGATGGGGGCTATGGTGCCTTCACAAAAGCTTCAGGAGAGAGGAGCAAAGGTCTCCACCAGCCCCACGCTCAGCAGCTTTCCCAGCCAAAAAATAACCTTTTGATGATGTTGCCTGCTTGGGAAACAAGTGTGCTGGAGGTAAACCCCTGACATGGGGAAGTACAAAGGGAGGTCCATCAGGCAGGTAGGTACAACTGGCTGTGGGATGGGGTGATCCCCAGGGTCAGAGCTGCTCAGGGGAAGCTGGGCAGCGGTGGGGACAAACACTGCCCCACCATTGGGGATGGCAAGTATGACAACCCTGGGCGCACGGTTGAAGGGAGCCCTGAGTGCTGTGTCTGAGGACTGTGGGACCTACCTGGTTCTGCAGGTATCTTGTCTCCAGGTTATACAGAAACACCGCCTGAAAAGGAGGTTGTTGGATGAGGTGAGGCCAACACTGAGCAGGGGCTGTGGGCTGCAGCGGAAAATAGAAGCAGGCTGCCCAGTCCCCATGTGTGACCAGCATCCAGGGTGCCCACAGGGACTCACCGGGAGAGCAGGGACAAACGCCATCACATAGCGTTGGGTTAACCTGGGGGACACCAGAGGCTTGGTTAGTGTGGGGTGATGACCGTAGCCACCATCCTGCAGCCCCACCATGCTGGGGAGGGATGAAGCTGTGGTGCTGGGGCAGGGGATCACCCGACCTGGAGACCTCGGGGTCCTGGCGGATGAGGATCAGGAGCTGTTCGATGTTGATGAGGATGGCACAGCAGGGGAAGCAGCAGAGCAGCAGGATGAGGGTGGCGCGCTGCAGGATCACCCCCACACGCAGCAGGTTCTTGCTGCCATAGGTCTGCAGGGACAGAGGGTGGCAGTGAGCTCTGCACCCACAGCACACTGGTGCAGGGTGGACAGGGACCACCATTGGACCCATAACCACCCTAGACTGCCCAAGAAGTATTTGGTGTGTCAAGGTAAGCACGGAGCTCCCCATTATGGGATCGCCACTTGGGAACAGGCTTCCCCATCCCACAGGTACAACTGGGGACCCTGTGCAGTGCCTGAGCAGCATCAGCCGATGCAGGACAGCCCTGTGTCTCCAGGACAAGTGCCAGCATCTCTTACCCACCTGTGATATCAGGGTGTCACATGCCGAAGACAAACCATAACTTACAGAGATGGCAGTAACATTTATAACCTGGAAACAGGAGTTAAAAAAAACAAAGAGCCAATGTGAGCATTTGAGACTTTGAGGTAGGAAGAGGGGCTAAAAGGAAAAGTAGGAGTCTCAAATCTCCTCTGTCCTTGTCTGCCTTTGTTCCCGTATCCCGTCCCAGTGTCAGCGGGTGGGAGCTGGTGCCGGGGCAGATGCTTACAGCGATGGCCAGCGTGACAGAGGCCAGCTCGACCTTGCCCAGGTGGCCGCAGAATATGGAGCTGACAAGGTGTATGAGGAAGATCAGCAGCTGGATCAGGATCTGAGCGTGGGGAAGAGAGGAGGCGAAGGTCAGAGATGGAGGTGAGCAGGGGTGGCTGTGCTGGGGGGGAGCCTGCTCCTCCCAGTGTCCTTACCAGCGGTCCCGCCAGCACCAGCAGCTTCTTTGTGTCCTCCCAGAAGTTATCTGGAAGCAGGTGCTGAAGCCGGTGTCGTTTCTTCCCGCCGCTGCCCGGTGTGGGACCGCGCTGCCCAGTGGCCATGGCCTCACCGAAGCCGTTCTCCTCGGGGAGGTTCGCCTGCTTCATGCTGCCGCTCTGCCAGGGGAGTGGAACAACCCTCTTCTTCCTCTGTGCTCCGTTAAAACCACCCAGGCACTGTGAGCAATGTGTAACCACGGCGGTGAACTTCAGCCGGGGCCGGGTGGGCTGAGCGCACGCTGCTGGCAGCGGGGTGCCCGTGGGAAGTGCCGGTGGTGGGTCAGGGCAGGGCACGGAGCTGGGGAGCTGCTAAAGGTCCCGTGCACTGTTGCGGGTAGCGCAGAAGAGCCTGGACACGGGACAAGGCACTTGCTGCCTGCCCTGAGCCAGCGCAGGGGCTGAGCCATCCCAAATCGCACCCAGGAGCCCTCCTACCTCTCTCCTGCTTTGCTGTGGCTCCTCTGGCTGGTGCGCTGGAGGATCCATGGGTCCGTGTCTGCGTTCCCGTGAGCCGGTGCCGGCAGTGGCGGTGCCGCTGTCCGCTCGGCGCCTCTCAGCGCAGCACGGCGGTGGCCAAGACAAGCCGCCCTGTTGGCTCCAGCTCTCGGCCTCGCACAGCAGCATCGAGTGTCCCTGGCACCATTCCCCAGCCAAATATAGTGTCCTGCCTTGTCCCGGCACCGGGGAGGCGGAGGGGAGCTGCTGCTGCTGCAGGGCAGACCCCGCTGAGCTGGGCTCCAGTGCGCTAGGGCAGAGAGAGGCAGCTTCCTCCTCTCCCCAGACTCCCATCCCAAAACTACTGGGATTCTGAGCAGGGCAGAGCCTGCCACATCCTCCACCAATGTGGTGGGCAGATCTGGGTTGATGCCTGTTTCAAGCTCCTTTATGCCAGTCTTTATTATGTGTTTATCATTATTTATTATATCTTTTCATTCCAGGAGCATTGTGGGGTGGCAGGAAGGTGCTGTGCACCAGCTACATATGGGATTTACCTCCAGTGGTTGAGCATATGCCACACAACCGCAGGTAAGACATTGGGACACATCCCAAGGGGCTCATTGGTAAGGGCAGAGATACGTAGACAGTGCTGCAGTGGTTGCATTAAGACATACAGCGGTTCCTTGATGGTTCTGTAGGGTCGCGCACCACACCACCCTCTCCCACGCAGCTCCCAGGAGCATTCAAGGTGCACAAACCCTGCTTTTGTACCCAGAGCCAGCCTCAAACTGCAGGGCCAGGAGGCTGAGGCTTTGTCTCGTGCAAGCCCATTGTGCAAGCCGCACAGACCAGGCGTTCCTCTAACAGCTCAGTCATGCCAATGTCCGGGGTCACGCTCACACCACAGTAACAGCCCAACGTTTACTCAGAAAACTTTACTGTATCAAAAGCCCACATTACAAAAGTGCAAAGAGGAGTTGCTTTAGGCCCTGTGCCTGCCACACAGCAGGGAGAGCAGGGCCAGCAGCCAGCACCCAACGTCCCAGCAGCAGTCAGAGCAGTGAACCACGTTCCAACAGTATGGGCCTTTCCCTGTGCTGCTTCAACAAGTGGGCTCTGCCATGCCAAGATACTGGCACAAACTGGTGCACGAGGAAACCTGCTATAGGCAGCAAGAGCCTCTGCCACTAGCAAGGGACATGGACAAATGGCTCCAGGGAGCAGAAAACAGGATAGCAGCACAAGGTCCCTGTCTCCTTCCCCAGCCAGCCCCAGGATACATTCCTGCCTATCACAAGTGACACCCTAATGCAGTGCAGTGCAGGAGAGGAACCAGCTCTCAAGCACTTTCTTCCCAGGTGCTGCATCCTCACCCCCTTTAAAAGAACTCTGCACGTGGGATAAAACATTGTGAGTTAACCAGAAACTGAGCAATGTGACTCTTTACAAGGAATTCCTCCCCCTGCACCATTCTCCTGGGACATCACCACATGCCCTCCTGCTCTGTGTACAGCTCCCCAGTGTCCCTGGTTCTATCCATTGCTGGTCAGGAGCCGGACCAGGATGCCCACCAGCAGGACAGCGACAGCAGTGGCAGCAGCCAGCATGCAGTGGATGATCAGAGTCCTCCACACCACCTCGGGAGAAGCAGGGACAGCAGCAGGCTCCTCCTGCGTGGTGAGCTGGTGCTCAGGCTGGCTCTCGCCTTCAGTGATGCTCTCAGGCAGGACCACAGTGTCCATGTCATCCGTGTCAGTGGAGATGTGGTCTGTGTAACAGAAAGGTGAGTGTTGTAGGGAAGCTGAGCTGCAAAGTGAGGACATCCCTGTCTGATGCTGCACAAGCACTAGGGACAGTATCCTTTCCCAAGGCTCACAGACACTGGGACATGCCACAGCAATGTGGCTGGCAGTCCAGGCTCTTCCCTGGAGCAGCCAGGGTGGTAACAGGGTGTTTTGTACCCCATTACAAAGTACAGGGGAAGTGCCACTGGCCTGGGACAAGCACCAGGCAGCTAGGCTTGCAGGACAGACACACTGTGAAGGAAAGGAAGGGCTGTGTGGAGAATTCAGGCTCCCTCCCTGTAGTCAGGCCCGGTTACATACCCACAGCAGATGTTTTGTTAGCAGCTGTGCCATTGGAGTTCACATCTTCCAGTTGTTTTTTCAGTCCAGCTCGGACTTGAGCCTGAAAGCACACAAAAGATCTTTGCACTTCTCAGTGTGAGAATCTCCTGCCAGAGCAAGGATCTCCTGCCCAGCCAAGCAAACCTCTTCCTTCCACTCCCCCAAAGCAAGCATGATCAGAACCAAATTGCTCCTCCATTACAGGAGAGGGACAGATCCCATTTCACTTTTGCCTCTTCCCAGAGGACTGAGGCATTGTACTGGGACAGGAACTCCCGTAACACCTTTCAAGAGTTACTAGAGGGAAGAACAGGTCTCACCTCTTCTGCAGCTTTCTTCCAATCCATGCGCATGACAAAAATGGAGAAGGAAAGGGCTTGCAAAGAGATGCAGATGATCATTCCCACCCACAGACCTGCAGCAATGGAAAGTTATTTCAGGAAAGGCCTGAGGAAAGCCTGCTTTTGACAGCCACTGTCAAAATGCCCAAGGGCTTCAGTGGCATCAGATTGTTGCCCAGTGTCTAACCCTGTCTGGATGGAAGAGCTGCCCTCAGGGGCAGCAAGAGGAAACAGGGTGCTCCTATGCTGGGAGCAAGCCTGGATTTACTGGGCTATCTCAGCCCTGATTTGATGGAGGTTACTCAGAAGCTGTCTCAGGTAAACACTTCAGTGTGCAGTCCAGCCCCACTGATCCAAAGAAAGATCCAAGCACAAGGGCAGAGCTCAAGGCACAGGATTTGGCCCAGCAGAAGCAGTGCTGGCAGCTCATCCAGTGCCAAGTAGAAGGAGGACACACATACCTAACACCCCCATCTTAGCTGCAAACATCAGGGAGATGCCGATGGGCAGGCCTATAGTGTAATAGCCGACAGCGTTGGCAATAGCACCCAGCTTCTGCTTCCCTGTGCCCCGCAGCACGCCGCCACACGTTGCCTACGGAAAGCAGGCAGAGGAATCAATGCACTGGACAACATGTGCCATGGAAGGTACCATCACAGGGGTATGGCACAGCCCTCTGAATAGGGGAACCCACAGCACTGTCCCGCAAAGCCAAAAGAGACCAAAGCCACATCACAGGGCACATGGTGCAGGGCTCCTCTTTTCCAGGTGCAGGATGTGGAGCTGCAGACACTGAGGCATGCCAGCAGACCCCACAGTGCTTTCCATGCTGCCTCGGTCCCCTCCCAGGAACATAACAGGAGGAAACAGGATGAAATTACTGTCTAACAAGTTGTATGAGCACTGCCCTTATGTTGGGAGTACCTGGTATCTCTCAAATCCAGCTTCTCACTCATGTTGCTCTCACAAGATAGTAAAAAGCTAAGGCCTTGCCAGGGGAAAAGAGGGAGAAAGAACTGGGTCATCTGCAGCAAAGCCAAAGGGCAACCACAAGCACAGGGGGATACTGAGGTGCTATAGGAAACACAAACAGCTGCTTTGACAGTTATCAGCTTGCTTCTCTGTCATTTTAACAGATCAAAAGTGAGCTAGAGGCAGCTTTGCACTCTCCATTGTACCCCAACCTACAGAGAGGAATTGCTCCACGTGCTGGAATACTCACTGCTGCTGCATCAAACAAGTGGAACGGAGCAAAGATGATCATCACTTTGGACACCAAGATAACGATCTCCCTGTTGAAAGATGTACGTACTGGTCAGGGAAAACAGCACAGCCTGGTCCCAAGGGACTCTGGTTCTGACACATTTCCCTCAGCCAGCTGCAAAGCCTGATCCCAGCCCATGAGACTTGAGTGGATGGGTGCAGCTTGGGTACCACCATGGCAGCGTCCCAGTGCCAGAAACATCTGTGCTGCCCAGTGGGGAGGAACATGTTTACCAGATGGGGGTTTATGAGCTCTGTCAGCAGCTTCTGAGCAGCTCCTCGATGTAAATCACACCCTCCAAGAAGGTAATAATACTCAAAAGAAAGCTGTTAACCTACTTGTCATTGGTGAAGATGTATCCCACCACATCCTTCAGGGTTCCCAGCAATGTTGCAACCACCACAGCAAAAACTTCTGAAAGAAAAAGAAATAGTCAAATTGCTTGGCTCAAGGGCAGGGGGTCCTGCTCCTGACCCAGACCTCAGGGCTTCATGTGATGGGGACTGGGCTTGGCTGACCTTCAAGTGACACCACAGTAGAGGAAAAGTCTGTTTTCCTCACTTTCTCCCCAGATACTCCCTCTACTTTCTGGACGTGGAGGACACAAAGCTAAATTGCATTTTCAACTATCAAAGCCTTTGTGCCAAGTTCCTAACAGAAAAAGAGAAGCTAGGGTCTCACCTTCCCCAAACAGAGTGTCCAGACAAGTAGGTCTGGGTTCCTATGGGGTGTCCCCATCCCTGTGAGAGGGGAACTGAACCTTCTGCTAATAACTGCACTTTATTCCACTCTGCAGGAGCTGGGGTGACCTGTGCACAGCAGGGCAGTGACGCATGAGGTCTTGGCTTGCATCGCATCCCCTGATCCCAAGGCATTGCCCACTCTGACGCTCGCAGCCACGCTGAACCCCAGAGGCACCTGAGAAGCAGGAGACAAGGAAGAGGTGAGTGGCAACAGAACCTGCAGCAATATTCCTCTACCCCAGTAGGGAATTTGGGGCAAATAGGCATTGCTGCAGCAAAGGGATTTTCCATCTGCAGCACACCTGGGGATATACAATTGTTCTGCAGGCCTGGGAGTCATCACCTGCCTGGTACCAACTCCAGCTTCCCTCCCAGCCTTGATCTTAAGGACCACAGTCTGGGGGCTTCCTTCCAGGCTGATCTTTTACACACCCAGCCCTTACCATGTACGCTGCAGAGGAGAGCACATAGATGACAGACTGTGCACCCAGCTCCACCACACTGAGCAGACCTGGAAAAGATTCAGCATTTCCTTCATTGGGTCAGAATTCAACTCCTCCTGACAAGTAGGCAGTGACTCCAGGGTTCCCATCTAACATCCTGCAGAAATAACCCTGCATGCGAGGAGGCTGCCTGCAGGACACACTCAAGAGGCAGCCACCAGAGCACTTCCATGGCTGGAAGATGACCTGTTGAGCTAGGGGAAAAAAAGAGGATTTGGACTCACCTGCCAAGAAGCTTCCAATCTCAAAGGTCCACCATTCAATACACATCATGAGCATGCTGGGCACCGCCAGCCAGGTAAAGGAACCCCAGTCCAGGAGACAGTCCTTGGACCAACCTGCAATGAGGAGGTGAAGCAAAATGAATACATGTTCTCCCTTTGCTGCTGTACCATGTTCTGTTCCTGAGACAGGATGATCAACAAGAATATACTTGGAACTACAGTAAAGGCCCTGAGGACATGGCTGCAGCATCTTCCTGCCATGAGGGAATGGTAATCCCTTTGTCAGTTGCTGGTGACAGTGCCAAATCCTCAGGGTCAGATACTGGTATTTTGAAGGATTAAGCTATGAACAGTACCTCCCCAGGTCTCCACATAAATCTTCTTCCACCACACGTAAAGGAAGAGGAGAATGGCCTGGGAGTACTGAGAAACAGTGTTAGCCCAGGCAGAGCCCCTAGGGAGAGAGACAGGCAGGTCAGAGGGTACTAGAAGCAGGCACTCAGGATACCCCAGCCCCTAGCAACCCCCTGCACCCAGGGAGAGGCTGTCACCAACCTCTGCTCACACTTACACCAAGCCCAGGTTCAGTGCATACAGGAAGAAGGCATTTATGGCCACATTGAGGAGGTTGGCTGCAATCCCTGTCAGCACCTGAGGCAAAATGATGGCCTGGAAGCCAAGAAGGAACTTTGGAGTTTACTGCCCCAACACTGCCCAAGCCCCATCCAGCAAACACAGGGGAGACCTACAGCAGTGCCCAAGGAGAAAGCCTAGAAGGCAGCTCCTGTTTCAGGTAAAGCTGGATTGTGTTAGGCATGCAGAAGGGAGTTGCAGGGCTCAAGAACTGGTGCAGTCAAAATGCAGAGTTGGGAGGTAGCAGTGGGGAAATGGAGCAATTCCCATGAGCTCTCCCTGCCCTGCAGGGCTGGCTGGGGACTCTGCATCACACACTCCTCAGCCCATCTCTCCCCAGATGAATTTAGATGACAAGTTTTATGCATGTTCCAGAGCCTGGCTACTTATACCATACCTGACTTAGTAAATATCTTGTCTGCAGCTGGTACAGAAACGCCGCCTGCAAGAGTCAAGATTCATTTCATCAGTATCACCACACGGATTTGACTGCCAGCTACCATTTAGCACTCACAGATGGGTCCTTCCCTCAGCTCCCCGTGCTGCCCAACACCCTGCTCCTGTGGTCTGGGCTGCCACTCAAAGCCAAGAGTAGCGAAAGGCACCTCCCATTCCCACTAGGAAGGGAGATCAGTCTCTAAATGGGAATCTCCTGTGCTTCCTCATCAGCATGAAGTGCCTGGAAGCCTTGGAGGAAAGGATTAACCCATAGGCCCTTATTCCCCAGGGGTACTACTCTGAGCCAAGAGCCCAGCAGCTATGAGTGTGTGTGAACAGCTGTCGTGGTTTAAAACCAGGCAGAGGGCCCTTTCACTCACTCCCCCCCCCTTCTTGCCCTCCCCCTACTCCCGGAGGGACGGAGACAAGAATTGAAAAGAATGCAACTCCCACGGGTTGAGATAAGAACAGTTTAGTAACTAAGGTATAACACAAATCACTACTGCTACCACCAATGATAACAATGATAAAGGAAATAACAAGGGAAGAGAATACAACACCTCATCACTAGCCGACTGATAACTCGCCCCCCCAGCCTGACCAAGCACCGACTGATACCTCCTCCAACCCTGCAGTCTTAGCCCTTCCAGGTAACCATCGGTTACATCCTGGGCATGACGTGCTGTGGTATGGAATACCTCTTTGGTCAGTTTGGGTCAGGTGTCCTGCCTCTGCTTCCTCCTGGCTTCCCCTCCTCCCTGGCAGAGCATGAGGCTCACAAAGTCCTTGGCTAAACCAAAACATCGCTTGTTATCAGCTCTGTTCCCAGGCCAAAAGTCAAAACACTGCACTGCACCAGCCACCAAGAAGGAGAAACATGACTGCTACTGCTGAACCCAGGACAACAGCAAACTGCAGGCTTTATCTCAGAGCTAAGAGTGGGCCCTGGAGCCCTTGGTTCCAATGTCCACCACTGGTTATGTGTTGTGTGGAGATGTGGCCTGCAGTAAAAGCCTTTGCACAGCAAGATGAAAGACTGCATGTTTGCTGGTCCAGCAGCTGCTGGCCAACGCACATCTGTTAAAGCCCAAGATCAAGGAGCACATTGCAAAACCCTCACTATGCTGTTCTGTGATCCACACAGCAAAGACCCTCCCACCCTTCCCCTAATGTTACTGAGGGATGCAGAGCTTCTAACAGCTTTAGCAGCAACTTACAGGAAGTGCTGGAATAAAGATCATCACGTAGACCTGAGTTAACCTGGAAAGACAGTTGTTTCCTCGGTTAATAATAGAGCAAAGCAAGAACCAAGCCAAGCAGCTTGCACTCAAGCTCCACAGAGCCTTGATTCCAACACTGCATGGCAACCCACCCACAGCCAAATGCCTCACCCAGAAGGGCTTTATCTGACTGCTGACCTGGAGACCTCAGGGTCCTGTCGGAGGAGCAGGAGGATCTGCTCGGTGTTGATGAAGAGCGCCCAGCAAGGGAAGCAGCACAGCAGCAGGATGAGGATACCCCTCTGCAGGATGGTGCCCACCTGCTTCAGGTTCTTGCCACCATATGTCTGAGTCAGGAGAGAGAGGACCAAGGTGAGTGTTACAGGGAACCAAAGGGTCTGGGCAAATGCTCAGGACCCAGGGCAGCAACGGGCTGATTAAATGCATTTCCCATGCCCTGCAGTGGCTAATGCCACTAATGCTGGTTGGGTGTAACTGGCTCTCAGGTGGATTGCACCATCCCTCTGCTACCCAGGCATGACCCACAGCTCCTTGGGGGAGCTGCAGGAAGGGAGCAGGCTCCAGCCAGGTATCTGTAGCCCCATGCTGTCTGGAAGCTGCCATCCTCCCACCCTTTGTGCCCAGATCACACTGCACAGGAGGTGAGACAACACCAATCAAACCCCACCAGGCAGAAAAGAAAGGGGGAGCTGCTACTGACCTGGGACATCAGTGTGTCACATGCTGAGGCTAAACCAGAACCGATGGAAATGCCTGTCACGTTGATAACCTGGAGGAGAGATAAAGGACTTAGAATGCAAGGGAGGGTGACAGGTCACAGTTCTGCTATGAGTTTTTGGGAAGATTTCTATTTCTCAGAATAACATGATCTTGTTACCCAAACAGTCTTTTCTCGCTTTTAGTGTGGAAAAGAATCCTCTAGCAAGGGATGAATATCTAAAGGGCCACAAATAGTGCTGCTCCTAGCCACATGTGCACACCTAGGTCTAGCGGGTCCAGAGAGTTGGTCACAAGATCCAGCCCCCTGCCCCCTTCTACTGGCACAGGCACCCACTGCTCCATTCCTATTTCCTGCCTGTGTTCAGGGCAAAAGGAAGAACAGTTTGGTGGATGGAATGTTTGTACAGGGTCCTCACATACACATTCCTACAGGTTTTGGTTTGTTTTTTTTTCCTCTTTTTTTACAGTGACACATAAATCATGTTTGAAATCAGAGTAATACGTACTGACACAGCCAGCGTCACAGCGGCCAGCTCTGCTTTCCCCAGATGGCCACAGAAGATGGAGCTGACCACGCTGATCAGGAACCCCAGCAACTGGGCAACAAACTAGGATGGGAGGAGAAGGAGATGGTGAGATGAGGACCCATTAGCACTTGAGGAGCATCACCCCTGCCCCAGGAGTCAACTATGAACAGTCAGGTTTCCTACTGCTTGTAGGCTCTGCTCTCCTGTCCCTGCTCACCAGCACTGCTGGGGTAGAGGAGCCAACTCTAGAACTGTCAGTGACTTTGTCTTTCAAAGCAGATCTCTACCTGCCCTGTGGTATTTTGGTGCTACACAGCCAATCTGCCCTATGACCTTGTTTGTGTGCAGCTTAACAGCTTCACTAGAAATCCTCTTTTCTAGGATGAGGGATGCATAGTGAGGGAACATAAAAACTCCCAATGCTTTTCCACACTTCTGTACAGCTGTGGAAAGCCCTCCTCCCAAACTGCAATGTCCTCTCCTCCTGCAGAGACACCAAGTCCAGCTTGTTCCTCCCCAGGGGCTACAGCAAGGCCTAACAATGCTGTAGCGGGGATTGCATGCCAGACCTCATTTCCCCTGACCAAGAGGATGGCCTTCTTACAAGCATCCACAGCACAGAGTCATGGCACAGCTAGAACCAGATGGTAGGAGTTAGAGATATTTATACCCACTGAGGGGTGGGCATGGCTGGGGACCATGCCCACGGTCTGCTTATGCTCCTTTCCACCCAGCAGCTGACAAGCCAAGAGCCCAGCACTGCTGGAGAACCAGCTCCTATGGGATCAGAGGAAGAACAGAACAAAACCTTCTCCTCTCCAGTCCTCCTGCCAGGCCCAGGCATGTTTGACCTGCTGCTGTGAGTACTCCCTGCAGGAGGGGTCTGTATCTCCCTGGTTGTTCCAGTGCAGGGGTTGATGTGAAATGATCATTACCTGTAGGTTTGGTTTTGAGGTTATCCGTACACACAGAGAAGCAGGCTGTGCCACAAGGGGAATGGCTGAGAGAACTGAGCTAGTGCTGGTGTGTTCAGCCACAGAAAAGGAAACCCATCTGTACTTCCTCTGCTGCCTGATCACAGCAAGTCAGTGCTGTGATGTCAGGGAGGACACCTCTGGGAAGTTCACAGTTGGTACTTATTTACAAGGTAGAGTAGAAGATTAAAAGCACACAACTTCATGTGCAATGAATTCAGACTGGGGCTGTGGTGCACGCTCCCCAAAACGTGCTCAGTGCTGCACCATCCATCCCTGATTGCTAAAGGACGCATCTCCCTCCAGACAAACAGCAGTCCAGGGTGGACTTCAGGACCCTTGGGTACCTCTGCACCCCGAGTCTGCTGAGGGGCTGGCATCAAGCAAAGCGACCTGCTGTCACCCAAGGGGCACACGGCGGTGCCGGGGCTGCACCCTGGCTTCACAGGGTCCCCTTCCCCGAGTCCACTGCTTTTCCATAGCCGCGCTGCCACGCGGACCGGGCTGGACAGCAGCAGGAGTTCCTGTGGCGAAGCAGCAGCACTTAGATGACAGTTAAGGAATAAATGGCTGCATTCGACCTCCCTTCAGCAGCGGGCATGGGCTGCGGGCGGCAGGGACCGGGCCACGGAGCCGTGCTGGGGGCTGAAGGGAAGTGATGCGGCAGCCGCGCAGGGCTCATCCCGCGGGGCCTCGAGGTCCCCAGCTCAGCCCGGGCTGCCCGGGGCCCGCTGCCGGGCTGCGGGTGCCTGAGCCCCACTGCGATCCTCGGCCCCTCGCCGCAGCACCGCGGCCGTTTCCTCCCGAGCTGGCGCCGCTCCGGGCCCTTGCCCTTGCCCGTGCCCCGTCCCCCGTGCCCTCCGCCCCGGCTCTCACCACGGGCCCCGCCAGCCGGGCCAGCTCGCAGCTCTCCCTCCGTACGCCCGCGGGCAGGAGGCTCCGGGCGCCCCGCAAACACCGCGCTGCTGCTGCTGCTGCTGCCGCCATGGCCCGAGCCACGCCGCCACGGCTGCTCCCGCCGCCGCCGCCCGCCGTATGGGCCCAACTGGGACCGCCTCCCCGCCCCCGGAGCCGAGGGGCTGCCGCTGTGGGCGGTGCGGGCCGGCTCGGCTCGGCCCAGTGCTCGCCGTGCACGGGTTTAGCGCTGGGCAAGCCCTAAACCAAGCGGTGGGATGTTCTCCCCCGTGCTCGGGCTGCGGGTCGGAGACACCCCGTGGGCAGGCAGGAGCTGGGGATCTCCCCACGTGTTGGCCAGAGCCAGGGCCCACCGTGGGGTCTGGGGGGGATGGGGAACCCCCAACGTGTGTTGTTGAGGAAACTGGGGTTTGCTTTCGGCAAGGAGGGACCCCCCTGTTTGGTAACTGGCATCTAAATCCCTTCTATTCATTGGTTATGGGATGGGGACCCTCTGAGTATCCCACACACGTTGATTAGGGACCAGGGGCTCGCCAGAGACCCCCAACCCAGGTGGTGGTTAGAGGCTGTGGACCTCCTTGTGGGGTGATGGCTTAGGACCTGCCATGTGCTGGCTGTGGGCTGAGTCCCCTAACACAGAAGCCTGGCAAAGGCACATCCTCCAAGACTCAGGGGATGTTCCCTCTGCCATCAGCATTTCGATAATGGTGAGGGGCAGCTTGCTCTGGGAAGCCTTCTCCTCTCTTCCATCCACCCACCAGCACCTCATGAGCTGGGGATCCCCCCCGAACCAGGGATTCCCACTTCCCACCACAGTGCTGAGGTGCGGCTGGCAGGGTGGAAAGATTTGAAGGGGGGGCTGCTGGACCCCAACTCTCAGCTTGGCATCTGGCAGGAAGGTTTGGCTTGGATGGAATGTGGTTGTAACGCGACTGAAATTCCACCTAAGTGCAGCTGCTTGTAACCAAGAAGCTGTAACCAAATCTATTTCTAATGCATGGAAAGTTGCAATGGAAAGCAGGGCTTGGTTCAGCTGTATAAATGCTCCCCTGGTGCCTTATAGCTGTGTTGTCACCACGCAGAAATGTAAAGTATTGTTAATATTCCACTTACTTTCTTGCTCCCTGAAGTATAATGTGACATTGTGAAGTACTGTGTAGTAGTGGTGGTGAGTCACAGCCACTCTGGTTTCATGTGCCATAATGAAATTAGGGTATCTCAGAACAAAAGAGCGTCTGCTGCTGTCGCAGCCTGGGCTTGAGGTCTTCCTGATTTTGGTGACAGTTAAGGGAGAAAGAGCAACTTGCAAAGCTTACCTGAAGTTGTTTCTTCAAGAAATGCATGTTTCAGCATAGCCAGAGGGTTTTACTCACCGAAACCTTCTCACAAATGAGGAAAGAGCAATGTAAGGTTCAGTGTGAACATATTTTAATTTGGAAAGAGTTTCTTCTTCCTTTGGTGGTGTTCACATCACCATGACCCACCCTGGGGGGCTCAGGTCACCCTGATGTGCTTGGCAGCGGGCACAGACTGAGCTCAGGTCAACACTTAAGGCAGATAGTGTGCACATCTCTGCTGCATCTTCTGAGGGTGGAAAACAGACTGGAGAAATGAAAGGGAAGGTGTCACTCCAGTCTCATGCTGGCTGAAAGTGGCAAGGGTCACGGGTGTTTGCTTCAAGTGGCACAGCTTTGTGCAGGGCTTAGTGAGCTGGGGTTGATGCTTTTCCTCCCCTGGGCAGAGCAGCAGGCAGCTGGGTTCGTGTGCTGCCTGCAGGATGGTATTGCAGTTGCAGCTATGAAGAACTAGAAGTAGTTAGCAGAGAACAATGTGTGTCCTCGCTGTTGCGTGACTGCTGTGGCCAGTGAAGGCCAGAGGGTTCCTGCAGTGCCATTATCTCGTGTGGAGGCAGGAGGGAAATGATAAGGCTCAGACGGTGCCATTCATGGTCCTCACACACAGCACAAGTGTGAGTCCCTTTGAAGCTTACTTGTGACCCTGATGAGATCAATACCTGGGGCTGGCAAAGAGGAGGCAGAGACACAGGCAGAAACCTGGGAAAAAGGACTTTGAAAATAATAATAAGCCCTATCGCTTCAGGCGCAGGGGAGAAATACTACCTCCCAGGAGCCAGGTACTGGACAACAAAATACACACAGAAGAGTTGTGACTGAAACCCCTCGTGTTTTGCTGCTGCTGCTTGAAATCAACTCTGTTTGCTTTCAGAAGAGGTGTTTTGTGTTTCTGTGGTGACATATGGATCCCAATCTTGCTAGGAAGCAGCAGAACAGGACCTGGTCTGATGTGCCCTGTGGTCTCCTCTGTCACTGATGCATCAGCCCTGGCTCTGTTTCTGCCTCCCCACTCTCAGATCAGCCTGTGACTGTTGAGGGCATGTAGGTCGGTGCAAACTTGCAGGCTGAGCCCTGCACTGGTGCTGGATGCTGACACCTTTGCTTCTTCTCTCTCTGTGACAGGGATAAAGGTCCTGCCAGCTGCCCAGTGAGATTCGATGGGGCTCGTCTGCTGGCCCTCCCAGAGGGATGGGAAGGGTCAAATGTACCACAGGCTTCGCACGGAGCTGCCCTCAGCAATCCGGATATTAACAGTATTGCGACACCAGTTAGAAGAATTAGAAGGGTCAAATTCCTTCAGAGTGTAAGATCACTGAACTCTGCCATTTTAGATCTTCAGTGAATCTGGGGCAGTGTTTTGGAAGCCTGACACCTTAACACGGACCTATTTAAAGGAGTTAATGTGTGACCAGCTACAAACCCTCTAAAGAAGGCAAATGGCCGCCCTGTTGGAGCTGGTTTTGGCAGCTCCAGTGATGCTGATGTGAATCCAGAAGGAAGCAGCTGAAGGGAGAAGGATTGCAGTTGGCTTGCATCATCTGCAGAGCAGAATTAGGCCCTTTCTCTGCAGGTTGCCAGCAGGATGAGTACCCAGGGTTTTCTCTAGATATGGATGTCCATATTCTGAAATGCAGCCAACATCCTGTTACTAAAATAAACCCCACAAATGTACCGTGTCTGGAACCATTGCAATTAAGAGCTACCAAATAAGAAAACTGTCAGAACACAATGGATTTATGTCAAACGCTCAGCTGTTTGAAGAGTGTCCCTTTCTTTTAAGAGACCTTACTGCTGGCTGATGTCCAGATACCATGGAAAATCCACTCCCCTCTGTAAAATGTGGAGTTCAGGATACAGCTATATTAAAAAATAAAGAGCCTTTTGCAATTAAATTGGGTGTTATTTAAGTGCCATACCACAGGATCAGATGCTCAGAGCCATCAGTGGATGCAGCACAGGGATTTGGGGTTTGTCAACACCAAGAAGAAACCTGAATAGCCAGCTTCAGATAGCTCCCCTTTGTGTGATGATCTGACAATGAAGAAAGTGACTGTATTCTGGAGTAGTAATTGCATTAGCAAAACATGCCAATGATCTTAGACTGGAGTGACCCTTACTGCAGGGTAACCTCTCTAATGGGTAACAGAGGTGGTTTTTCTGTTTAACCGCATGGAAGTTCTCAAGACCATCCTGCTGAGTGACATGGCTTCCCCAGACCCAAGAGAACTGGTGTTCCACTGCTCTGTGTCTCCAAGGTATAATTAATCTTCAGTAATGTCAAAAAACATATTGACTAATAATGTCTTAAAATGGTGATGGCTGGTGATGCAGCTGCTGCACTGGAGCCATTACAGGACCTGCAATTGCACAGCTGCCAGAAAGCCTGAGCTCAGGAACAGGCAGCTCTCAGCAGTCTCTAATCATCCTGGGTGTTCTTATTACCCATAACCTCTATTTTTTGGCATGGACTCTGACATGAACAGGACTATTCTCACCATTATTTGTCTCAGCTCGCTAGTCCAGACATGCCTCTGTAGAAAAGGTTTATAGGGAAGCACGAAACCAATGTTTACAGTAGATGGAATTTGTCCAAAAGGCAGTTGCCTGCTTAAAAAAAAAGAGGCAATGAGAAATCTAGTGTCTCAGTGGAACCAGCAGGCCTGGCAGACCCTCCATGTTTCTGCATTGCTGCCCATCCGCCATGGTGTGCTGCTGCCTGTCTGCGCCTTTGCAGCACTGTGTGAGCTGGAAACTAACCTGGGGCTCCTTCTATGTCCTGGAAAGCTGTCTTCCCCAAAATGAAGTCTAATCAGCCTGCTTCTCTCTTCTGTTGGGAAACAAGAGATTTCTTTGATGGCTTCCTTTATGCTGTAGCTTCAGGGTAACTCAGCTGCTGCTGTTTAAAAACCACCCTGAGCATACAAATGAAAGGTCCTGCACCTGGGCTGGGGCAATTCCAAGCACAAATACAGGCAAGGCTGGACCAAGGCTGGACCAAGACTGGACCAAGAGCAAACCTGAAGGGAAGGACTTGAAGGTGCAGGTTGATAAGAAGTTCCCCATGGCCCGGCAGCGTGCGCTTGAGCCCAGACCCCCCCCCCCCGAGCAGGCGTAGCAAGTCATGGAGGGGATTCTCTCCCTGTACTGCACTCTGGGGAGACTCCCCCTGCAGTCCTCAAGCTGATGAGCGCCCATACCCACAGCTCGGTACTATCGGCTTTGGGCAGAGGCTTCCCGGTGAAACAGCAAGCACGACCCCAGCTCCACGGGCCATTTCTGCTCCCTCCTCTTGGGCTGCGGCACCGGGCTCCGGACTCGCTGTGCGCGGCCGCACCGGCAGGGGGCGCTGGTGCTCCGCGGGTCCCTGTGGAGCCGCGCCGGCGGGTGGGTGGAACGGGAGCGCGCCCGGGTCCCCTTCCAGCCGTGCGCGGAGGGTGAATTTGTTGTGTTCCTCGTCGGCAAGAGCCTGATGAACACTGGGAGGGGGGGACGCAAATCCAGGAAAATCCAAATATGTGGCAAATCCTTGGGCAAAATATTTACTAGATACTTTAGTGAAAAACACAACGTATACTGCCAAAGAGGATGCGGTGTGAAAAAGAGGACTTGGGATGCATTGGAGTTAGGGAAATGCAGATTGGTGCTGCCTTGTAGAGACAAGAACCTGCTTATTAAAAGCCCTGTGGTGTTGTCCTGCTTCTCTAATTCCAGTGTCCCAAGCTGGCTCTCAAATGGGCATCCCGAATCCATGATTCTACTGCGTACAGCCAAACATCCCCCATCAACAAGAGCCCTGCAAGTGTCTGTGTGGGTTAACCTCAGCCTGGTCACCCCACACACCATGATGTTGTTCGGTAAGAACAGAATCCCTCCGTCTATTTTACTGTTCTTTAAGAGAAAGAAATGCTTTTAACTTGTTGTGTACTTCAGCTCATCTTAGTTCTGCTTTCTTTGTTAAAAACAGGGCCAGGCAAATTCACTGCAGACATAAATACTGTTTTTACAAGAGAGTATTTATCTTGCCATATGGGTTGATTGAGTTCAGGGCTGCAGACTTAAAACCCTGCCCTGAAGAGCCCAAATACTTAATTAAGGCAGATAAGGCAGGACAAATAAAAACAAGACAAAACTCCTCTTGCTTTGAACCTCCTCTAGGGAGCAGGTCTTGGCAAAAGAAAAGAGAGATTGTAAAGCTGTAGTAATAATAATAATGATAATTAATTGTATTTATAAAGCATCCCCTAATGGCTCTGGATGCTAGACAACGATTTTCAGTACAACTGAAAGCAGCAACAACAAAAAGCCAAATAAGGACATGTTGTAAAAATAAAGGTGTCTTTTTCAGCAGCAGATTTAAGAGTGCTGCTCTGAGGCTCTTGCAAGCAGTACACGGAGGTGTCCAACCCAAGCACAGCCTTTGCTCCCCCTGTATTTCTGCAGTGCCCATGGAGTTGTGCGTCTCTGTAGAATACATATGGATGCTCCAAACCAAAACCCCCAAACTTCAGTCCCCAAACCCATCCTTTGTGTTCACGCTTACATGTTTCTTGGTGTGTTAGAGTGGAGAATACGTGTTTGCATGCTGAGGTGTTTTCTGGTGAGGACAGGCAGGTCGGGATCTGCAGCATGGACACGCAGACATCAGTCCGAGGTAGCTGAGCCACAGTGAATTCTGCAGGCTTGCAGATTACAAACTTTGATTGCCAAGAGCAAACACATTTTGAAGCCTGGTTTGCATGTCACCGTCTACGCTTTATTTCCTTGCTGTATTCCAGCCAGCCAGACGGTGTAATTCAATGCAGCCAAATTTCCTCGTGTTTACACTTCTGGATTGGCTTTCAGGATTTTCCTGCCTGCCATTGATAAGGGTAAACATTACATTTACACTGGATTTTGAAAACAAAGAAGGAAAATGCTCTAGTTCTGCAGGCTTTGTGAAAGCTTGCTCTACCCTTGCTAACCCCCAGAACTGCCACGGCCACCACTAAACCATGTCACTGAGGGCCTCATCTGCAGTGCTTGTGAACACTTCCAGGGATGGCGATTCCACCACTGCCCTGGGCAGCCTGTTCCAATCCCTGAGCACCCTTTTGGGGAAGAAATTTTTCCCGATATCCAATCTAAACCTCCCTTGGCACAGCTTGAGGCCGTTACTTCCTGTCCTATCACTCCCTACTTGGGAGACTGACCCCCACCTCACTACAATCACCTTTCAGGTACTTGTAGAGAGCAATAAGGTCCCCCCCGATCCTTTTCTTCTCCCGACTAAACACCCGCAGCTCCCTCAGCCGCTCCTTTGTGCGGGGCAAGGCGAGCTACTCACCCTCAACCATGGCAGCGGGACGGCGCGGTGAGGCAAGGCCTTCCCCTGCCCAGGTGGGCACCGGCCATATCCCCCACCATCCCTCCTGCCATCCCTCAGCCGGGCGCTGGATGGGCTGAAACCTGGGTGAGGCCCCCGGGGCCTTGGCCCACGGCCTGAACGCTGCCGACCCCGGCGCTGAGGGCCGGGCTGGCCCAACCCGCGTATGGGGAGCCGCGGGGAGCCGGGCCGGGCCGGGCCGTGCGGGGCGCAGGGCGGCGCTGCCCGAGGCGGAGGCGGGCACGGGGCCGGGCGGAGCGGCAGCGCCCCCTGTCGCGGCTGTGCCGTGCTGGTCTGTGCCGGCGCGGGCTGCGGCGGTGGCGGGCGGAGCGGAGCGGGGAGCGCAGCGGAGCGGGGCGGGATGGCGGGCGCCCTGTCGGAGGTGCTGGGAGAGGTGCTGGTGGCCGCGGACGGGGAGGAGGTGGCGGTGTCGGCGCTGGCAGCCCGCGGGGTCTCGTTGGTGGGGCTTTACTTCGGCTGCAGCCTCGGCGGCCCCTGCGCGCAGCTCGGCGCCAGCCTGGCCGCCTTCTACGGGCGCTTCAGGGGGGAGGCGGCGGCGGCCGGGGGGCAGCGCCTCGAGATCGTCTTCGTGTCGGCCGAGCAGGAGCAGCAGCAGTGGCAGGAGGCCGTGCGGGCCATGCCCTGGCTGGCGCTGCCCTTCGCCGACAAGCACCGCAAGGTGAGACCGCGGGGCCGGGCCGGGGCGGGAGGGAGCCCCGGGCTTTGTCTGGGTCCGACGGGGCTCGGCCGGGGCCGCGTGGCGGTGGGCGCCTTCCAGAAAGTTCCCGGGGAGAACCGGAGCGGGCCTTGGGGGGTGTCGGCCGCCGTCCTGCGGGGCGACGCCGCCTCGCCCGGCTCCTCCGGTTCCCGGGGCCTGCGCGCCGCAGCGGGCGGGGAGATGCCGCCGGCTCCATGCGAGAAGGGGAGGGGAGGACCCTGGCCTGGGGGTGTCGGTTTTAGGGGGGGTCCCCTCAGAGGAGCGGGGACGGTGGGTGAGGGGTGTGAGGAGCCGCTCCTCGGGGCTGGAGTGTGGGAGCAGGGCTGAGGGAAACGGGCCTTGGCGTGGACAGGGTGCCCGTGGGCTCCTGCGTGGGTCTGGGCACAGAAGGGGGCCGTGTCCAGCTGCGGGGTGGTTGAGGAGCGAGTTGGAGCCCGGCTCGTCACGGAGCTGCCGGGTGAGTCTGTGGGATGTCGTTTGCTGTTTATTTAGCACACACTCCACAAGTTACAGCTCCTCATCCGAAGAGTTTCATCTGAAAAGCAGATAACAGACAAAAAGCGCTCTGTAAGACCCAGGCAAGGAAGGCTGTGAGGGGCAGGAAGGCAAAGGCTGGGCTTCCCGATCCCAACAACCTCGCAGTGTTGGTAGTTTAAAAGAACCAAGCACAAACCCCTCTTTACAGACCTAATCTCTGTCAGCTATTGAGTACGAATTAAAAAGATGGTGCCCCACAGTGCCGTTTCTAAGCGTCTTTCCGGCTGCTGATCTGAGCGCAGTGGACGGGCATTGTCTCAGCGCTTGGTAAACTCTCTGCTTCATCAGGGATTGGGATGAAGTCGGGGCCAGGGGGTGGCTGAGCCCCCTCGGGCATACCCCGTGTATGGGATCTGCGAGGCTGTGTCGGGATGAAAGGGACAGTTTCCTCCTGGTCGTGGCTCTGAACCCTCCTCTGCCGGCACTTCGGGCTGTTAATGAGGCAAAGGAGTCATTTAAGGGAAAGCTGGCTGTCGTAGGGCTGCGCCGGGTGATGTCCTTTCTGCTGGGAAGAGGTGTGTGTGGGTTGAAGCCCATATGGCTTTTCTTTCCTCATTTGCTGCAGGTTTTTGGTCACTTAGACCCCTGCAAAAGCTCTTGTATGTTTAATGCCGTGTACCTGAAGGATGCTGCTGAAAGCCCTCAGTTTGTCCCTTAAGTCCAGACACTTTTAAGTGGGAGCTTCCATGAGTGGTCACAGGTTGGAGCCTGAGATCAGCTTCATTAAAAAGGGGAGTTGCAAGAGAAGCTTCGTCCTTCAGAGAAATTACAGTTTAATTCCAGTTTCTTTAAACACAAACCCTGTTCCTACAGGGACTTGAAAAGATTGTGGTTCCAATTAGTAGCTAACCATTTCCCTACAGAACCTTTTGGATTATTTAGGTGGTGGGGCTTTTGCTTGACATACTTGCTTTAAAAATTCCACTGCAATGTAGTTAAATGGTTGAGAAATCATAGAAGTGAGTGGTGGCATTCATTTTACATGCCAGCCAGTACTTCCATCTATTAGATTGCAAGAAAACATGAACTAAAAAGATTATGGGGTCTTAAACTCTTATTTCAAGAAGCTCTGAGTTAGATTCAGGATTATTTTTGTGCAGAGTGTAAAGTAATTGAAGCTCGTGCTGTATATTTTCAAAACTAAGCAGATGTGATATGGCTTTGGAGGAAGCTTAATCTGTGGATAACAGAGAACCTATTTGTAAGTTATAAGGGCAATTATGTCAGGATATCAGATTTCTAAACAGGAGATTTATAACTTGTAGTTCAGGCACTTAGAAGTTCCCTTGTATAATAGGCTGTTTTTTACATAGTTGGGTTAATGACCTGACTCTCCAAAAAAGCACAGACTTTCTATTTTTCAGAAACGTGCCAGCAGAGGCTGGGAATGTCCAGCGTGTGTTCGGTACCTCCTGGGCTTAATTTACTGTAAAACAAAAGCATTAGAAAAATGTAGGCAGTCCTTTTCAGTTACGGTTCTTGTGCACTGAAGGCTACTCCTAAATCTGATGGGAGGCAAACCCCAGAGAATTATATAGATAAAGGGAAGAAAGGGATCTTAGAGATACGGAGTAGAGAGGGGAACATCGGGTAGGGAGCTGAACTCTGTGCTTTAGCTCTCAGCCCCTGGAGGTTGTGGAGCTAGTGTCCTTGGAGGTTTTGGGGCTTGGCTGGGCAAAGCTGTGCCTGGCAGGGCCTGGTGCTGGTATCTGCAGGGCTCAAAGATTTCCAGAGGTCCCTTCCAGCCGGTGCTTCCCATTGTGGGTTGGTTACCTTATCTACTGAGGATGTGAAAGCTTTGGGGAGAGATGGCTTCCTATCACATATTGGCTGTAGATCACTTTTATTGCTCAGAATTACTGAATAATATGGCTATTACAGTCCTGTTTTCCTGCTGAAACACGTATCACTGTGCACATTGTCTTTCTCAGGTGTACTTTGTGGTTTTTTACATTTTCTTCTTCCAAACTCTGAGCATCAAGTGTAGGTCTTAAAAACCAGCCTCCTTTCTAGGCTTGCAGTAAAATTCCCACAGTCCTAAAAGTAAAATAGCATCTTACTCTTATGGTTATTGGTGAAATGAGTATGAGTTGTCAAAGAAAACAGCCACTCTTTGTTGAATGCTTCAGTAACTCAATAATGCTGGGGTGCAGTTACCAAGGACATAACAGTCTGTGCATCTTGCAGCGATCAGTTGAATTTGAGTAACTTTACCAT